CAGGCCTTAAATTTACGTATTTAATTCATTTTGATTAAATTTTTGAATATTCTGAGAGATAGGGGTCCAATTTCACGCTTATGCATATAGTTATCCTGTTTTCCCAGAACCAATTATTAAAGAGACAGCCCTTCACTCATTGTCTGTTATTGGTGACTTTGTAAACACTGACTTGATTATAAATGTGTTTTCTAATATCTGGGTTCTCTATTCTGTTCCATTGGTGTACATGCCTGTTTTTCTACCAACTATGCTAATTTGGTTACCATACCTTTGTAGTCTGTTTTAAAGTTGGATAATGTGATGCTTCCAGCTTTCTTCTTTTTGCTCAGGATTGCTTTGGCTATTCAGGGAAATTTTTTGTGTGTGGTTTATATAAAGTTGAGGATTGTTTTTTCTATTTGTGGTAAGAATGTCATAATTTTGACAGGGATTGAATTGAAATTGTAAATTGTTTGCTGTCATTCTTGAAGGCAGCATGTACTTGGGTCTTGTTTCTTTATCTATTCAGGACCTCTATAAGTTTTAATTGGAGAATTGACACCATTTGTATTGTTATTATTGACAAGTAAGAACTTACCACTGAAAATTTGTTGGCTGTTTTCAACTCTTTCTTTTTTACAATCTTTCTTAATGGTTAAGTGATTTTCTCTGATAGTAAGCTTTTTACTTCATTTTTTAAATTTTAGTATAGTACTAAAGTTTAGTACTAGTATAGGTTTTTGCATTGTGGTTACCTTGAGGCTTACAACAAACACCTTTACATCCAACAAGTTATTTTAAAGAGATAACAACTTAGAGCACAAATAAATAGAAATAAACAAAGAGAGAACTGAAAAACTAAACTACTCACAAAGATATTCAGGAATTGGACTCAACTCTGGATCAAGACTTAATAGATATCTGCAGAATTCTCTACCCCAAACCAGCAAAATATTATTCTTCTCAGCACCACATCACACTTATTCTAAAATTGACCACATAATTGGAAGTAAAACACTCCTCAGCAAATGCAAAAGAACAGAATCATAACAAACAGCCGCTCAGACCACAGTGCAATCAAATTAGAACTCAGGATTAAGAAGCTCACTCAAAACCACACAACTTCTTGGAAACTGAGCAACCTGCACCAGAATGACTACTGGCTAAATAATAAAATTAAGGCAGAAATAATGAAGTTCTTTGAAACCAATGAGAATAAAGACACAACATACCAGAATCTCTGGGACACAGCTAAAGCAGTGTTTAGAAGAAAATTTATAGCACTAAATACTGACAAGAGAAAGCTGGAAAGATCTAAAACCAAGACCCCAACATCACAATGAAAGTAACTAGAGAAGGAAGAGCAAACAAATTAAAAAACTAGCAGAAGACAAAAAATAACTAAAATCAGGGCAGAACTGAAGGAGATAAAAACACAAAAAACTCTTCATAAACATCAATGAATCCAGGAGCTGGTTTTTTGAAAAGATTAACAAAATACATAGACCACTAACCAGACTAATAAAGAAGAAAAGAGAGAAGAATCGAATAGACACAATAGAAAACGATAAAGGAAATATCACCACTGACCCCAAAGAAATACAAACTACCATCAGAATATACTATAAACACCTCTAAAGAAATAAATTAGAAAATCTAGAAGAAATGAATAAATTCCTGGACACATACACCCTCCCAAGAATAAATCAGGAAGAAGCTGAATCCCCAAACAGGCAAATAAGAAGTTCTGATATTGAGACAGTAACTAATATCCTACAAACCAAAGAAATATCCCAAGACCAGACAGACTTACAGCCGAATTCTACCAGAGGTACAAACAGGAGTTGGTACCATTCCTTTTGAAACTATTCCAAACAATAGAAAAAGAAAGACTCCTCCCTAACTCATTGTATGAGCTAGCATCATCCTAATTCTAAAACCTGGCAGAGACACAACAACAACAAAAATTCAGGCCAATATCCCTGATGAACATCAATGTGAAAATCCTCAATAAAATACTCGTAAACAGAATCCAGCAGCACATCAAAAAGCTTATTGACCATGATCAAGTTGCTCTCATCCCTGGGATACAAGGTTGGTTCAACATATGCAATTCAATAAACATAATCCATCACGTAAACAGAACCAATGACAAAAACCACATGATTATCTCAATAGATGCAGAATAGGCCTTTGATAAAATTCAACATCCCTTCATGCTGAAAACTCTCAATAAACTAGATATTGATAGAACACATCTCAAAATAATAAGAGCTATTTATGACAAACCTACAGCCAATATCATACTAATGTGCAAAAGCTGGAACCATTCCCTTTGAAAACTTGCGTGAGATAAGGATGCCCTCTCCCATTATTCCTGTTCAACATGGTATTGGAAGTTCTGGCCAGAGCAATCAGGCAAGAGAAAGAAATAAAAGTTATTCAAATAGGAAGAGAGAAAGTCAAATTGTCTCTGTTTGCAGATGACATGATTGCATATTTAGAAAACCCTATCGCCTCAGCCCCAAATCTCCTTAGGCTGATAAGCAGCTTCAGGAAAAGTCTCAGGATACAAAATCAATGTGCAAAAATCACAAACATTCCTGTACACCAGTAACACACAAACAGAAAGCCAAATCATGAGTGAACTCCCATTCATAATTGCTACAAAGGGAATAAAATACCTAGGAATACAACTAACAAAGGATGTAAAGGATCCCTTCAAGAAGAATTACAAACCACTACTCAAGGAAATAAGAAAGGACACAAACAGATAGAAAAACATTCCATATTCATGGATAGGAAGAATTAATATTGTGAAAATGGCCATATTTCCCAAAGTAGTTTATAGATTCAATGCTATCCTCATCAAGCTACCATTGACTTTAAAAAAACTACTTTAAATTTCATATGGAACCAAAAAAATAACCGTATAGCCAAGGCAATCTTAAGCAAAAAGAACAAAGCTGGAGACATCACACTACCTACTCATCAAACTATACGATGAGTCTACAGTAACCAAAACAGCATGGTACTGGTACCAAAACAGATACATAGACCAGAAGCCTCAGAAATAACACCACACTTCTACAATCATTTGATCTTTGATAAACCTGACAAAAACAAGCAATGGGGAAAGGATTCCCTGTTTAATAAATGGTGTTGGGAAAACTGGCTAGCCATATGCAGAAAACTGAAACTGGAGCTCTTCCTTACACCTTATACAAAAACTAACTAAAAATGGATTCAAGACTTAAATGTAAGACATAAAATCATAAAAAACCCTAGAATGAAACCTAGGCAATACCATTCAGGACATAGGCATGGGAAAAGACTTCATGACTAAAACACCAAAAGCAATGGCAACAAAAGCCAAAATTGACAAATCTCATTAAACTAAAGAGCTTCTGCACAGCAAAAGAAACTCTCATCAGAGTGAACAGACAACCTATGGAATGGGAAGCAAATTTTGCAATCTATCCATTTGACAAAGGGCTAATATTCAGAATCTACAAAAAACTTAAATAAATTTACAAGAAAAAAAACCACATCAAAAAGTGAGCAAAGGATATGAACAGACACTTCTCAAAAGAAGACATTTATACAGTCAACAAACATGAGAAAAAGCTCATCATCACTGGTCATTAGAGAAATGCAAATCAAAACCACAATGAGATACCATCTCACGCCAGTTAGATTGGCAATCATTAAAAAGTCAGGAAACAACATATGCTGGAGAGGATGTGGACAAATAGGAATACTTTTACACTGTTGGTGGGAGTACAAATTAATTCAACCATTGTGAAAGACAGTGTGGTTATTCCTCAAGAATCTAGAACCAGAAATACCATTTGATCCAGCAATTTCACTACTGTATATATAACCAAAGGATTAGAAATCATTCTACTATAAAAACACATGCATATATATGTTTATTGCAGCACTGTTCACCATAGCAAAGACTTGGAACCAACTCAAATGCCCATCAATGATAGACTGGATAAAGAAAATGTGGCACATAAACACCATGGAATAGCATTAGCAGAAATACTTAATGTAGATGATGGGTTGATGGGTGCAGCAAACCACCATGGCACATGTATGCCTGTGTAACAAACCTGCACATTCTGCACATGTATCCCAGAACTTAAAGTATAATAATAACAATAATAAACTGCTCTATGCTTTAACTCCACACCTCCCCACACATTTTGAATTTTTATTGTACCAGTTGACATATTTTTTAATGTCTAATTTTAACAGGCTGTTGTGGCTATTATCGTTTCTGATAGATTTATCAGCTTCATACTTGATTTATCATTGGATTGCACACCACAATTAAGTTTTTGGCATATTTTGGGGTTGTGTTAATACTTAATTTTACCTGGAGGTTTTATACATTGAAATGTTTTCTTCTAGTTAGTATACAATATGTTAGCCCTTTTTTCTTTCAGGTTGAAGAATTCCCTTTAACATTTCTTGTAAGATGGGTCTAATAGTGGTGCATTCTCTTAGCTTTTGTCTGTGAAAGACTATTTCTCTTTGCAAATGCTGCCTTATTTACTTCTGGCCTACATGGTTTCCATTGTGAAATCTGTTGCCAGATGAACTGGAGTTGCTTTGTCATTTTACTCTTTTCTCTTGCTGCTTTTAGAATCTTCTCTTTGTCTTTTATATTTGGGAATCCAATTGTTATATGCCTTGGTTAGCATTATTTGGGTTGAATCTGTTTGGTGTTCCCTGACCTTTCTATATCTAGATATTTCTGTCTTTCTCAAATTGTGGAAAGTGTTCTGTTATTATTACTTAAGATAAGTTTTTTCCCCTTGCTGTTGCTCAGTTCCCTCTTAAACATGAATAATTTCTAGATTTGGTCTTTTGAGGTAATTTTCTATACATTATAAGTGGCCTTCTTTTCATTGTTTTTTCTTTTATGCCTGCTGACTGTATATTTTCCAATGACCTCTAAACTTTTTATTGGCCTCCTGCTCCCCAAAGGGTCCTCTGCTTCTGATGGCTTAATGTCTCAGAACTTTGGTGTTGTTGGTCTCAGATACTACTTTGCTATCCATTATCCAGCAGGTGGTGGTCTTTTGGATGGTTTGTATGGAGTTGCTGCTGTCCAGTGCATCACCAAGATTGAAGTCCTAGTCATCTTCCAGCAGGTGGCGATCTCAGTATCCAGCTTGACCTTAATGGTCAGCTGGGCCTCATACTCCTGGGCCTGGCACTGTCCCTCTGCCCGGGGCTGTGCCAGCTCTGACTCCAGGTGCAGCAGGATCCCGTTGAGCTGCTCCATCTGCAGGGTGTAGTGGGCCTCCACCTCCCTCAGGCTGTTCTCCAAGCTGGCCTTCAGATTTCTCATGGAGTCCAGGTTGATCTCCAAGGACTGGACTGTATGTCTCAGCTCTGTGAGCATCATACCAGTAGCTCCAAGCTTGGCAGACTGCATAGTGGCCACTGTGGTGCTCTCCTCAATCTGCTGAGACCAGTACTTGTCCAGCTTCTCTCGGTTCTTCTGAGCCAGCTCGTCATATTGGACCCAGATGTCTGCCATGCTCTTGGCGAGGTCCTGAGATTTGGGGGCATCTACCTCCACAGTCAACCCAGAGCTGGCAACCTGGGCTTGTAAGCCTTTTACTTCCTCTTTGTGATTCTTCATGAAGAGCAGCTCCTCCTTGAGAGCCCCAATCTCTCTCAAGCTGCAGCCCACTGACATTGGTGTCATCAATGACCTTGTGGAGCCCACAGATGTCACTCTTCACAGACTGGCGCATGGCCAACTGTGTCTTATACTTGACTCTAAAGTCATCAGCAGCAAGATGGGCATTGTTGATCTGCAAAACGATGCGGGCATTGACCACAGTATTTTAGAAAATCTGAGCTCTCAGGTCCTCAATGGTCTTGAAGTAATGGCTCCAGTCTCTGAGCTGGGGTCCTTTCTTCTCCAGGTGCTCCTGGATTTTGCTCTCCAGTGTCCGGTTCTCGGTCTGCAGGCTCCTCACTCTGTCCAGGTAGGAGGCCAGGCTGTCGTTCAGGCTTTGCATGGTCTCCTTCTCGTTTTGGATGCCTCCCATTCCTGCCAGACCCCGGCCATCCCCGCAGCCAGGTCCCTGGTCCCCATGCCGCCCTGGAAGCTGGTGGAGTGGCAAACAGAGATGCAGGAACCAGAGCCCCTGGTGTCTGCATAGACATTGGCCACGCTGCTGATTGGCCGGGCTCCGTAGCTGAGCACCTGGATGGAGTCCAGGGACCGGTAGTTAGTGGAAAAGGAGCCAGTAGTGAAGCTCCTGCTGCTGGGGAGCAGAGCAAGAGGAAAGGCCTCAGTCTTTGCCGACTAACTGTATATTTTTTAATAGCCAGTCTTTCAGCTCATTGATTCTTTTCTTTAACTTATTCTATTACTGAGATCCTCTAAAGAGTGTTTTAATTCAGCAAATGTGGCTCTCCATTCCAAGATTTCTGTTTCATTTTTAAATTATTATTTCAATTTTCTTGTTAAATTTCTCTGATAAATATCTGAATTGTTTTTCTATGTTATCTTGTAGGTCAATGAGTTTCCTTGAAATTGATATTTTGAATTCTTAGTTAAAACTTTCACATATTGTTTTTCTAATCCCAACATGGCAGCTTAGAAGCAAGCTTGCTTCTCTTCTCTTTATCATAAACCAAAAAGAAATACACAGCACCAAGATCTTCACCAGCAGCAACCCAGGGCTCCTGTATGAGGAGGAGATAGTTCTTGTAGCTACAGAGAAGTGGAAAAACTCTGAGCAGATGGTAGGAGAACCAGATGCTACATCCATGATGCCTCTTCCCTCCATTCTGACAGGCATCAGCAGCATGGAGAATCTGCCCCCAACTCATGGTTTCTGCACTGAAAAATGTGAAAATGAGATTGTCAACCAGCTTTCCCATCTTCTTTAGTTTCCTGCCAGGAGACCTGCCTTTGCCTTAAACCACAGGTAGCATTGTGACTGCCTGGAGGGAGAAATGTCCGTGAGGGCTGGCAGAGACAAATAGGGAAGCCAGGACTACCAACCTCAGCCGTCAAAAACTCTTTGTAACTTGACCAAAGGAAATGCCAAATCAGTAGGAATCATGTAGGAAGTATGCTCCACAGGTCCCCTGGGCACACACCCCTAGCCGGCATTCCCACAGTGCTAGTAATCCCTTTGGACCTTCTCTATTTGGGACAGGCAGTGCTCTGGTCATTTACAAAAGTCAAGGTAAACCTAGGCTTAAGGCGCCACCTAGAGCCGAAAACTAGGCACCAAGCTACCAGTGAAGATTCACTAAGCAACTATATCCAATAAAAACCAAACCAAACTAGACAGAGAAAGCTAGAATAAATAGTTCTTCAATACAAATACATAGATGTATACCCACAAGAAACAGCAGGAGACATGGAATCATGACCTTCTTAAATGGACAAAGCAAAGTTCCAGCAACTGACCCTTTTGAGATTGTGATTTGTGAGCTCTCTGACCAAGAATTCAAAACAGCTATTTCAAGGAAACTTTGTTATCTCTAATATAATACAGAAAATCAATTCAGATATTTATCAGATAAATTTAACAAGGAAATTGAAACAGTGATAAACAGAAATATTGTAACTGAGAACTTCATTTGCTGAACCGAGAAACTCTTTAGAGGATCTCAACAGCAGAATAGGTCAAGCAGAGAAGAAAATCAATGAGCTCAAAAACTGGCTATTAAAAAAATACACAGAGGAGAGAAAAGAGAAAAGAATGAAAATGAGAGAAAGCCACTTACAAGATATAGAAAATGGCCTCAAAGACAAAAATCCAAAACTCGTTGTTGTTCAAGAGGGAGCTGAGCAAAAGCAAGGGTAGAAAGATTATTTAAGGAAATGATAACAGAACACTTTCAAAAACATGAGAAAGATATAAATATCCAGGTTCAGAAAGGCCTTAGAGCATCACATTAGTCAAAGAAGACTGATGAAGTTATTTAGTAATCAAACTGTCAAAGATGAAAAGTAGCAAGAGAAAAAAAAAGCAAGTAGCATATAAAGGAGCTCCAAATCATCTTTAGCTAGAATAAGAAAAAAAGAGAGAACACCAAAGTAAATTAAAGTAGAAACAAAAAAGGAGACATGACAACTGACACCTCGGGAATACTAAGAACCGCTAGAAACGATTAGAAACAATCATATGCCAACAAATTGGAAAATATGGAAGAAATGGATAAATTCTTGACACATGTATCCTACCAATATCGAACCATCAATAAACAGAAAACCTCAATAAATAAATAATGAGTTTAGAAATAAAAACCATAATAAAAAGTCTCTGATCAAAGAAGAGCCCAGGACATGATAACTTCACTGCTAAGTTCTACCAAATATTAAAGGAACTAATACCAATTCTATTCAAATACTTTGAAACAATTAAAGAGGAGGGAATACTTTCAAATGCATTCTACAAGGCCAATGTTACTGTGATACCAAAACTAGACAAGGACACAATTTAAAAAAAGGGAAGCTAGAGGACAATATCACTGATGAACATAGATGTAAAAATCCTCAGCAAAATACTAGCAAGCCAAATGCAACGACACATTAAAAAGATCATTCACCATAGTCAAGTAGAATTCATTCCAGAGATGAAAGGATGGTTCAACATATGCAAATTAATAGATATGATACACCATGTTAACAGAATCAGGAACAAGAATCATATAATTATTTCAATAGATGCCATAAAGGTAAAAGCACTTGATAAAATTCAACATCCTTTTATGATAAAAACCTTCAACAAACTAGGCATAGAAGAAACAAACCTGAAAATAATAAAAGCCATCTATGATAAACCCATAGCTAACATCACACTTAACAGGAAAATATTGAAGGCCTTTCCTCTAAGGCTAGAACAAGACAAAAATGTCCACTTTCACTATTATTTTGCTATTATTCAGTATAATACTGGGAGTCTTAGCCAGAGCAATTATGTAAAAAAAAGAAATGAAGGAAAATCCAAATTGGAATGATGGAAATCAAATTATCTTCGTTCACAGATGACATGATCATATATGTAGAAAACCTAAAGACTCTACCAAAAAAAAAAAACCTGTTATAATTCACACAGGAATTTAGTAAAGTTACAGGATACAAAATCAATGTACAAAAATTAGTAATGTTTCTATATATCAAGATTAATCTAGCCAAAAATGAAATCAGGAAGGCAATCTCATTTACAACTACGAAGAATATTCAATACCTGAGAATTAAGTTGTCCAAAGATGTGAAAGACCTAACACAAGAAAAATCATAAAACTCAATAACATTCTTCACAGAAATTTTTAAAAATTCTGAAATTTGTATGGAACTGCAAAAGATCCTAAGTAGCCAAAGCAATCCAGAACAAAAAGAACAAAGCTGGAGACATCACACTACTTGACTTCAAAATCTATTACAAAGCTATAGTAACCAAAATAGTATGGTGCTGGAATAAAAACAGACATATAGGTCAATAAAACAGAATAAGAATCTGGAAATGAATCCATGCATTTGCAGCCAATTCATCTTCAGCAAAGGCATCAAGAACTTACAATGATGGAGGTCAGTCTTTTCAATAGATGGTGCCAGGAAAACTGAATAACTATATGCAGAAGAATGAAACTAGACCCCTATCTCTCAGCATACACAAAAATTAAATCAAAATGATTAAATAACTGAACCTAAGACCTAAAACCATGATCTAGAAAACTCTGAGGAAAAACTTCAGAACAATGATCAGGACAAAGATTTCTCGTGTAACTTCTAAAGCACAGGCAACCAAAGTAAAATAGACAATTGAGATTACATTAAACTATAAAACTTCTGAATAGCAAAGGAAACAATCAACAGAGTGAAGAAACAACACAGAATGAGAAAAAATAATTACAAGTTATTTATCTGACAAGGAATTAATAACTAGAATATATCAAAAACTCAACTCAGTAGGAAAAAAAATTTAAAACTCAATTTAAAAATGGACAAAATATTTCTCTGATGACCAGTGATGATGAGCATTTTTTCATATGTTTGTTGGCCTCACATATGTCTTCTTTTGTAAAGTATCTGTTTATATCCTTTGCCCACTTTTGAATGGGCTTGTTTTTTTCTTGTAAATCTGTTTTAGCTCTTTGTAAATTCTGGATATCAGCCCTTTGTCAGATGGGTAAACTGCAAAAATTTCTTCCCATTCTGTTGGTTGCTGATTCACTCTAATGACTGTTTCTTTTGCCGTGCAGAAGCTGTGGAGTTTGATTAGGTCCCATTTGTCTATTTTGGCTTTTGTTGCCAATGCTTTTGGTGTTTTGGTCATGATGTCCTTGCCTACGCCTATGACCTGAATGGTTTTGCCTAGATTTTCTTCTAGGGTTTTTATGGTGTTAGCAATCCCATTACTGGGTATATATCCAAAGGATTATAAATTGTTCTACTATAAGGACATGTGCACATGAATGTTCATTGCAGCACTGTTTACAATAGCAAAGACCTGGAACCAACCCAAATGCCCATCGATGATAGACTGGACAGGGAAAATGTGGCACATATACACCATGGAATATTATGCAGTCATCACAAATGATGAGTTTGTGTCCTGTGTAGGGACATGGATGAACATGGAAACCATCATTCTCAGCAAACTGACACAAGAGCAGAAGATCAAATTCCACATGTTCTCACTCATAGGCAGGTGTTGAACAATGAGAACACATGGACACAGGGAGGGGAGCACTACACACTGGGATCTGTTGGGGGGAAATAGGGGATGGTCAGTGAGGGGTGGGGAGTTGGGGATAGATAACATGGCAAGAAATGCCAGATATAGGTGATGGGGAGGAAGGCAGCAAATCACACTGCCACGTGTGTACCTATGCAACAAACTTGCATGTTCTTCACATGTACCCCAGAATCTAAAATGCAATTTAAAAAAAACAGAAAAAAAAACATAGTATGTATGCCTTTTGGATCTGACATAAAGACATAAATTTTACACCAACTAAAGTTTAATGAGCTTGAGTATCTATCCCTGAGACTTATGTACACCATATTTGTGGAGAAGAGCTCGTAGAAGAATCAAGTTGTACAATAGAGAAATATCTGAAAATAAAGGAAAGTATATTCCCTTAAAAACTTTTTACATTGAAAAAAATGGACAAAATATCTGAATAGACATTTCTCAAAAGGAGAAATGCAAATAACTAACAGGTATATTAAAGTAATGCTCAATAGCACTATATATCAGAGAAGTGCAAACTAAAACCACAATGAGATGTCATCTCA